TTCTGTGGCTCACCCCACAGACACAGTACTACTCAGGAATAGCAAGAGCGGACAGGTGGGGCTGGGACAATATGGGAGAGAGTGTTGGAAAGGTAATATCGATCATGATACACTGTGCATATAAATTGGTATGTTGAATCCAATCCTTCTGAACAACTATTTAAAGATAATAAAGATCACAAAGATTCTCCTGTACAGCTTCCGGAAAGGCAGACAGTTTGGCTTGGCATAGTTAGTTCTCTGATCCATTTGACACTGGGTGAGAATGTGCACTTTCTGTTCGCTTCATAGGACTGCAGTATTCTATTTATCTAATTCTGTTCTGTAATAAGTTTAGTTTCAAAAAGAAATCCTAAGCTAGAGGTATGGCTCAGTGGGAAAGTGCTCATCTAATGAGCATAGGGAATTGAGTTCAAGTTTAACTATTACAAAAAAAAATCTTAATATTTGATGGACAAGGTGTTAGTAAACTTTTTCAGTGACGAGCAGGTTGGTTATTATTTTCAGGTTTCTGGGTCATACATAGTTGTTTCTGTTGTATATTCTTTTTTTGTCAAGCCTTTAAAAATGGAAAAGCCATTCTTAGCTTGGGAGCATACGGAAACAGGCCACAGGTCTTAAGAGTCTACGGGCCATAGCTTGCTGACCTCTGACAGGGCCAGCCCTCCCACTTCAAACCGCTTCACAAGTAACGCCACAGCATTAGTCCTCAGGGGAACACAAATCAAACCATAACGAGAAAATGGAAGTAAGGCTAGAAGCTTAGATTCCTGGATTCTAAAACTTCCTATAAATTTTTGATTATCACAATAGTGTGTCACTGTGTAAGCATGGACATGAGGCCAAATGGAACAGTACCCTGAGTCCAGAAATAGGCCCAAACACCATGGTCAACTGCTTTTTAGAGTTTCATTTTTGGAGGTACTGGGATTTGAATTCAAAGCCTTGTACGAGCCTTGTACTTATTGGGCTGGTGCTCTACTGCTGAGCCATGCCCCTGCCCTTTTCGGCACTGGTTACTTTAGAGACAGGATCTCACTTTTTGTGTGGGTACATGTGTGTGCTATGATTTGCCTATTTTATACTTCCTATCATAGCTGGGACAAAAGTTATATACTATCATACCCAACTTCTTCCAATGTAGCATCAGCTTAGGCTGGCATGGAACCACAATCCCCTAAACTTCCACAACCCATGTAGCTGGGATGACAAGAGTGTTCTACTGTATTCAGTTATTGGTTGAGAATGGGTCTTATGTATATGCTTGGTTGGCCTCAAATTACGTTCCTCTCTATTTTAGCCTCCCAACTAGCTAAGATTGCAGATGTGAACCACTGGTACTGGTGTCAACTGCTTTTTTAACAAGGGTGCCAAGACCCTTCAATGGAGAATGAAAAGTCAAGCAAACTGCTGCATGAACACATTATCCACATGCCAAATAGGGAATAGAGTAGTCAAGAGCCAGGGCAGGGAGGGGAAAGACAAAGTCACATAGGGGCTGGCACTAAGGACTTGTCACTGCTCAACAGTGGGGCAGTCTGGGCAGCCCTAGTGCTGCGGGACTGCTTTCAAGCAGCACTGAGTAGACAACATGCCTGAGACCCCAGTTTGGACTGATGGGAACTTTCCCAGAAAAGCTGGAGTCCCCACAGGAGATGGCTCATGGGCAGTATGGCTGAGACCACAGACTTGCACAGAGACAGCAGGGAATGCCCAGACTGACAGCAGAACAGCCAGTCTCCAGAGAGCCACACTTAGTGTTTACACGAATGCAAGTTAGAAAACATCTGCATGACACTATGGAAATGACACTGAAAAATCTGCAGACAGGTCTTGGGATAAGCACCGTGCTCACTGCCCATCAGGTTCAGACTGCATCATGGGGTACTCTGACCAGCAGGATGCTAACCACTTCCTCCAACCCAACCAGCCCAGAGTTTTATTTCCTAAGCCACCAGCAAGCTAAGCAATCAGAGGCTCTTTGGTTGCTGCTTCACTGTGTGTCTCCATGCTTAGAAAGGAGGAAGGCTGCTGAGCGCATGTCTCCCCTCACCCTGGCTCCTTCTCCAGATGAATCACTCACTCAGAGCTTCATCAAGCGTGCTCATGCAGCCCGCAGCTGTTTTCATATTCTCTTAAAATAGAAAAACACCTTGTGCTTTTGTTGTATGACACAGGGTATCTCTGTGGAGTCCATGCTGATCTGGAACTCAAGATCTTCCTGCCTCAGCTTCTGAAGTGCTGGGATTACAGGCCTGCTTCCTTGCCTTGCCCCCAAACATCTTTGTATCTGTTTCAATTTCCCCTGTAGTTAGATTTTTGTCATGCACAAGTTCAAAGTGTTTTTTTTTTTTTTTTGGTTGGTTGTAGGGTTTCTGCTCACTGTTAGCACTCTACCACTTTGGGCTACAGCTCCATTTCTAGTTTCCTGCCTGGGATGGCTTTGAACCATGATTCTCTGAGCCACTGGTGCCTGGCTCAGTGTTTTTATGATCAAAGCAATTCTTCTTTCCTTCTGGAGCTCTGGCCTTGTTTCCCATGATCAGGCCCATTACATATCCCTTTCTGTCACTGGCTGAGAGCCTCTCTGCCTTCCAAGGGGGTGCTCAGGGTCTCACATCATCCAGGATCTGTGTTCAAATGCTAACACTGAATTTCCCCTCTCCCCCCAGGAGTGGTTGTGAGAGGTTTGTTGGTCATGGGAGGCCAAAGCCAGAGGCCAGAGCTCAGAGCGGGACACAAGTTTCTCCCTAGCACAGGATCTAAGAATAGCACAGACCTCAGCTTCCTGCTTCTCTGTCCTCAGGCAAGAGCCACCCCATAGTGATGTGGGTGCTCTCCCCCCACTCCAGGCTTGGGCTCAGAAACCAAACAAACTCCTGACTTAGCTGCTCTTAGTTCTTGCACACTTGTCGACTCAGATACCCCCTCCCCCCACTTACCATGTCTTTCCCAGGCACATGCCTCCAACTCTGAAGGCTCCAGTGCTCTCCTACCAAGTAGAAGACTTGGTCATAGAACTCTGTAAGCACTTGTGGCCACAGCAGCAAACAAAGAACGCTGAGACTTTTCCTATTGTGAATCACATTCAAAACTGTCACCCACATACACATGATCAAACCCAAACTAAGACGGTAATTTGGATATTTGAGCATCAGTCCATATTGGTACAAATTCTTCGCTAATTCTCACATTTCTGGCCCATCCTGTAAGATAAACATGCAAGTAGTTGTATAGATGTGTGTGGGGGTGTAAAAGATGGGACAGGCCATCTACCACAGATACTAAGATATCAAGAACTAATACTGACAGAAGTGACACCTGGACAGCTCCCTAGCGCTGACAGCTGACCAGCATCAATCTGTAAGGTCCCACACAATATGATGTCTCTTACAGAATATTCTCAACATGAGGAGGTCCTGAAGACAAAGGTGAACTTAACGTGGGGGGCCAGGGTGGTGCGAGGTGCTCTGGTAGACTGCTCTGCATCTAGGGATGGACCAGACTGTGTCCACATGTTAACAAATGACACATGCACGTATTGTTGGAGTGACTACTGAACAGTGGAACGCTTTTGGTAAGCCCCCAGAATTCACTTGGATGCTGGTGGCAGCCTAGACCCTTCATAGGGAAAAGCCTAAATAAACTGTCCAGGATCAGTGACTCTTAGGGGACATAAAGATTGCTGATTCTGGAGGCTGTGAAGCCAGGCAGGGCATGGCTAGAGTCTATAGCTGTGCTGTGGCTCACACCTCCACTGCAGGGTTATAGTAAGTAGCAGTCATCTCAGCATCTCTCTCTCTGTACGGTGGAATCAGGACAACAATCTCAGTTTCTTCCTGAGATATGGATGGCAACAGGGAGAAAAGCAGTTACCGCAGGAGAGAAGGCTGACCCACACTGCCTTCCAAGTGACTGAGACATACCACATCATACACTCCTGACACAGTGCTTGGGGCAGGTCATGTGTCACTTCCATGACATGACTTCACTCTGATGACAAGAAAACACCACGCAGACCTAGCAGTGACATTCTAAGGAACATCTGGCCAATGGTCTGTGAATGTCCAGGTCATGAACAATAAGAAAAGCCCAAGCAGCTGCCTTTGAAATACAACAGGGAATCCAGGGAAGCCTGGAAGTGGTTTAAATAAGGAGCATGGTTTAATTAACAGCAATGTACCAACAGCTCCTGGTTTTGACCGCTGTACTAGGGTTGGTGACGTTGTGGGGACCAGGGTAGAAACTGAACTGAAAGATGAGAAAATGAAACAACTCAGAGGAAAAAATGGGCAAAAGATATAAATAGACATTTCCCAGAAAACACACAGTGCCAACAAACAAACTCAGGGCAATGTCAATTAAGCTACACTGATACAGTTAAGAACTGAAGTCTGGAAATGTTGACTGTTCTCCTGGAAGTCGTTTCTACTGTTGGTAGAACCATAACTGGTCCAATTATTTGGGAAATAATTTGAAGATAGACTTTCCATGACCCAGCAGTTAGACACTGAGGCACACATCCTAGAGACCCTCAAACATGAGCACCTGGAGATAAACATGATATATGACAGCTGTCTGTCTGGAAAGTAAAACATGGGGGCTGGGTGTGGTCCCTCATCCCATACATGTAATCCTGGCTACATGAGAGTGGAAAGTAGGTAGGAGGATCTAGGTCTGATGATGGCAGAGGCAGAAGTATGAGACTCTATCTGAAAAATAAACTAAATAAAAAAGGCCTGGAAAATGGAAAAGCATTTGCTTCTCACTATGGAGAGGACCACTAAGAGCTCCCAGTTCCTGGATTACATGGGCCTTGCTCCTCAAACAGAAAAACCAATCCAGCCAGAATGAACCAGGCCTCCTCTCAAACCATTTATGTGGCCCAATTGTCCCCCACTATGCTCCTGTGCTGGTTGGGGACTACTGGGGTGGGAGCAAATCCCGCCTGCCCGTAGGCACTGCTGAGGAAGGTGGAGAGAGGCACAAGGCTCACTCACCAGCTGGAACTCGCTGCGGCGGCTGAAGGCCTCCCTGATCCCCGAGTCCCTCCAGAGAGCGCTCAGGGCAGGCACATAGAGCTGGAAGGTGGCTGGCTCCACGGGCAGCCCCGCTTGGTTCTCAAAGGCCATCAGGAACATCCCGTGCTTTTCATTTTCAGAATGCTGCCAAGGGATGCCAAGCTTGTCCCGCGCGTCCACAAGCACCCTGGAGCCCTGGAAGGAGAGAGAAGAGGAAGACTCGGTTGTGTTTTGATGTGACATCACACACGGGCATGTCCACTCCGCCTTTTGCTCTACTCGGGCCGGGCACCAGGAGGGAACACATCATAGAAAGATGAATGTGGTGACTAGTCCTGTCACTGCTGATACTTTCAGATCTTTTCCCAGTGTAAAGCCAGCCTCCTGAGCCACAGGCAGAGGCCACCTGCAGCACAGGGTGGGGTTATGTCCGCCATGCAACATCCTGTGTGGAGTGGCAGCTGTGCCCATCAGATGGGAACTCCAAAGTCAGCAAGACAGTATCCACAAATGTTTGGACAGCATCAGCCAACACAATGCAGAGGAAGAGGAGGGGCATGACGAAGGGCTGGCATATACATCCTCCAGCTGGGAACACTAAGCCTGTTGCTCTTAGGTCTTTTCCTGTGATCGAATCCACACGCCACTCACCTGCCTGGGTAGAGTGGACAGCTGCATGGTTTTTAGTGGCTCTTATCCGAAAAGTGCCATCCCATCACCTGGGCAGGACACAGCATCACCTTGGCTGGTAGCAGCTCGGCTGCAGCTTTGGGCCTTAAGGAGTGGTCCCATCCGCTCGCCAGACCTGGGTGATGGTGCTGTCTGGATAGAGTCCCCTCCCAGCACTCTTGTGGGGATGCAATGACCTTGAGGTGACCTTACCTACTTCTATTCCCCCACAGGCAATGGGAGAAAATACTTGTCAGCCTCATGGCTGTCAAAGGACTCAGGTTTAGAATGCATAAAGAACACTCAAAACCAAATAGTCCAGTTAGAAAGTGGGCAAAGAACGTGAAGAGAGAATTCACAGAGAATGGAACAGCCAGCAAACATGCAGGAGAGAAGTAGTCATGGTTCCTTTCACTCCCAGTACACTCATTAAAATAGATAAAGGGCCGGCAGCATGGCTGGGCCACAGAGCACCTGTGTATCAAGTATGAGGCCCTAAATCCAAATCCCAGCTCCACCAAAAAAACAAACCCCAAATAAAAGAGAGTAAACACTAGCAGGTAGTAAGTTAAGATGGTTCTCAGTGGCATTATGCTAAATAGAGCCATCCTTGAAAGCCACAGCTTGTTGACAGAATTGTGTTAGAATGACAATATTTTAGAGATGGGGAAAGGGATGTGAGCTCAAAGAACAGCCATTCTCATTGAGGTAGTCACGCAAATCTTCACAGGATAAAGAGAAGTCCCTCCCCCACTGCCATCCTAATGTCCATTCCTGGGCTTTGCCACGGTACTGCTGTACTGTAATTATGTCCATCATAACTACAGGAATAACTGGAAATCCCTCAAGACTCTTTGCGACTCCCTGTGAACCTATAATTGTTTCAAAATAAAAAGGATTTAGTAAGTCAAATAGCCACCATGACAACGTGTGCCCCAACCATGTGACATGAAAAAGGAGCCACTAGAGGCCCAAGGAAAAAGTGAGAGCAGGAAGAGGGGAGGCTGGACAAAACCCTGCTTGGAGCTGGGTCAGGGGAGCTTTCTGTGGTGAGTTGGTGAAAACAGGCCGCGGGGCAGGTCAGAACCCACGCAGGGATGCTGCAGTCTGATTTGGTCTTCTGCCTTCCTCCTCTCTCAGACCAACTCTGCCCCTGGGGCCTTCTTACTTCCCCTCTTTCTTAGACCCGGAAAGGAGAAAAGCAAATAAGACAGTCTCATCTCTGACATTCTAGCATGCATTGGGTAGCATTGGTGGCTTTGGGGAGGTTGCCAGCAAAGTCTCCACTCTGCCCAGGTCAGGAGGAGGACCCCTGTCATTCAGGCAGCTGTAATCCCAAGCCCAGCAAAGGGAATGCTGGTTACCCCCCTGGGGGGGGGCAGGCATTTCAGCCTTGCCCCCTCCTCCAGCAGGACCAACCACCAACTAGCTGCAATGGGCAGCCCTGGCCATGCAATGAATAGGACAAATAAATCTGCATTTGACCTCTTCTGTCTAGTGCTGTTGCCACACACTAGGGCTTGGCTTCCCAAGCAGCGCCTGCTCACTCATGATGGAATCTATAAGCCCTGAGGAGTCCTATTTTTATCTATAAAGAGACTAAGGCAAGCTGGGCACAGTGGCTCTCACCTGTAATCCTAGCTATTCAGGAGGCTGAGATCTGAGGATTATGGTTCAAAGCCAATCTAGGCAGGAAAGTCCCTGAGACTCTTATCTCCAATAAACAACCAGAAAACTGGAAGTGGTGCTGCAGCTCAAGTGGTAGAGTGCTAGCCTTGAGCTGAAGAACTCAGAGACAGTGCCCAGGCCCAGAGCTCTAGTCCCATGAATGACCAAAAAAAAAAAAAAAAAAAAAAGAGACTAAGGCAGGGAGTCAAAATGGACTCAAGAGCCAGGAGGTCACTTAAAAAGACTTTTCCCCAGGCATGTTTGCTCAGCCTGTAATCCCAGCACTCAGAAGGCTGAGGCAGGAAGGGCTATACAGCAAGACTCTCAATCAACACCCCCTCCCCCAGCTCCATACACACAGCTTTTCTAGCACTGCATGAAGCAGGCCTTCCCTGGTTACAGGGGTGAACAGAACTCACACATGCATAACCATCAAGTCTAACACTGGCTGCTTTCCCCTGCATCAGGCCACCTGAGCAAGCTGGAGCTACCCAGCAGACTGGACCCAGCCCCAAAGAAAAGACTCCTTATTTCTCTTGGTCGGAATCCAAGGCAGTTTGCAAAACTGTGGGTGAACTCTGAGTCACAGCAGTTAACTTGGAGACCCATTTTCTATTCTCTTCTCCCTTTCCCTTGCAGAAAAGACTATTGAGGAGAATGTCTCTCTTTTGCCCATTTAAATTAATCGAGTCGAGAACTGCTCCCTGCCAAGTTTGTTCTGAAAATCAACACTGGGCTCTGGGGAAGCTTTGTACTTTGCCACATCTCATAAAGTTCCGGGTCCAGGCTTGTCTCCTTTTGGGGGGGCGGGGAGAGCGCATGAGGGAGAGAAAGGGATGAACTCTCTGGAGCTTACAGTCTTTGGCAATGCTGTGTTTAATGTAGTTCTGCAGAACTGACTGAAGAGAGCTATGAATACCTTAAAAGTTTAAGATACTAGTAACAGGCATACTAAGACATCTTGCCTCTTTCAATAAAAAAAAGTTTGTTAATATTCGAAAGCCAAGAAAATCCTAAAACTCATACACACCTTAAAAAAAAACAAATGACAGGTCTGGATGCCAGTGCTTCATGTACAAATCCTAGCTATTCTGGTTGAGAGACCAAGGATCTTGGTTTGAAGCCAATCTCAGAAGAAAAGCCTGAGAGACTCCATCTCCAAAATAACCATCAAAAAGTTAGGTTGGAGGCACAGCTAAACTGGTAGAGCTAACTAACTAAGCAAGCAGAGCAAGTGTGGGGACTGAAGCTTCTTACTTCTTTATTCTCCAGGAAGGAAAAGCCCTGCTTCCAGCACAGTGCAACTGAAGTCTGAATTTGTTGATAGCACACACTTTATTCAGTTGTGCAAGTACAAAAAGTCAAGCTGTTGGATGACTTCAGCTGAATACAATGTAACACTTTACACTGTTCAAAGAGCATTTTTAGGACAACTAATAAACTGCAGCCATTTAAACTTGCAGTCAAAGAACAGATTCCCTGTCTGGTAAGAGTGTAGATTTTGGGGGCTTTTGGTTTTCCTGGATGAGGACCAAATCCTGCAAATCCTGTTATCTCATTTCGAAATAGATCTTGTTAGTGATGAAAGTAAGTATTCGTAGGGTGGTCACTCCTGACTAAGTCCCCAGAATAAACACTATAGAGAAGCCAGGGCAGCGTCTTGCTGCCCTTCAGGGTGTACGGCCAGAAGAGCGCTAAGGATTCGGATGTCCACTCTAGCACGGCGAGATGTGGGGTTAAAACCTCACTAAGCTGAGTTGTTTGCCTCTGGCTGCCATCCAAGGCAAAGAAATGCTGCCAGAAATGTAAACAGGATACATTTCTGTAAGTTAATGAATGCAGGGAGCCAAGATCCACAGCTCCTCTCGGTTTCTCTCTGGAACTGAAGTGTAGGGCAGATAGAGAAAGGAGAGCTGGAGCCAGCATTGCCGGTCCCCAGACTCCTCCCTGTTCACAATGGGACCCTGGAGGACATCCAAGTCCAGTGGCTGGTGCCCACTGTCACTCTTCCTGGTTGCCTTCTGGGACACGGGCAGTGGTGTTCAGAACAGGCTCATATTTCCCTAGGAAGCCACCCACACAGTTCCACCAGCAACCATGCCGGGCTGGCCCAGGGCAAAGGAAAGTGCCAGGTATTGGGAGAAGATCCAAGAGGTGGCAGGCTGGCTCCTGTGCTGAGGGGCGTACAAAGCTTCTTGTTTCAGCAGCAGGAGGGGCTAGGAGAGAAACCCAGGTGCATTGTGGAGAGCTACAGGGCACAGCCACGCCGAGGGGCGGCCAGAAAATCACTGTGGGTACAAGACTCGTTTAAAGACAGGTTGAGAAGAGCTAATTTGGACTTTCTTGAGTAAGACATGGGGACAAATGAAAGTTTTGGGAAAGGGCAGGATGAGGCCAGAAATCTGGTGGGTGGGGTGAGCCAGCAAAGAAAGGGGAAACATTAAACAGGAGCTCCAGAGCACACAGGGAGTGGCGAGGTGGGTGCAGGGGTGAGTGTCTGGCAAATGTAGCTTTTGGGACAGTGGGAAATCCCAAGAAAAGATCATAGGAAACAGACGGCCCTATGGGCAAAGCTCAAGGTCTTAGCACAGAAGAGAGGCAAAACTGTCACCATTCACTTAGACTGTCTAGAAATCAAGAGAGAAGGAGAGGGAGAAGAGGGGGAGAGAGGGAGAGGGGGAGAGAGGGAGCGCGGGGAGAAGGGGAGAGGGAGAGGGAGAAAGCAAGAGAGAGAGAGAGAGAGTCTCTGATTCATTCTAAATTCAGATTTCCAAAACTGGAAATGCAAAAATCTTACTGTTTCAGAACCCAAGACCTGAAATCACCTCTTGAAACCACATATAGGCCAAGTTTTCTGC